TCTGAGGGAGATCGAGCTAGAAGTATCTTCTGACAGTTCTTATTCTCTCATTTAAATTCCTCTTGCTATGGGCCTAGCCTGACGGAGCACCACAGGTGGAAGAGATTTCAGGGGGTGAGAGAAAGACGTTGTCAGGGCTGGAAGGTAAGGAGCTGCTTCCTTTCTCAAGGGTTCTGTGCTGAGGAACAGATGGACTTTACAGTGTAGAAGCCAGAAGAGACATCGACCGACCTTAAGGGACACAGATCAAACCGTAGATCTACATCTAGGGCTGTGTGCTGTGGGACAAACCTTCCTGACTAGCAAGGGAGAGGGATCTGGGGCGGTGGGGGAGGGGTGGAGGAGAGAGGTTTCAGATGACCTCTGTCCCTAAGGGCAGCCTGTTGATCATGAGTGCCTTCTCCAGGTAGACCCTGGTCCTGGGGTCAGGAGTGGGGTGGCGATCTAGTACAAGCAGGAGATCTCTCACTTCAGGGAGTTAGTTCCCAGCCTAACTGGGGACATCGAGAGCCTGCTTTCTGGGAGAAGGGCCCATAGGTGCACACGCGTGCACACACACACACACGCCCACGTACCCACATACCCACACAATGTACAGAAGCCACACTCCAAGGAACACACAAACCAGCGCGGAGTGAGTAGAACAGTTGGACAGAAAGCTGGCATGGTTACGCTAGAGTGCCATGAGCTGGTGCACTTTGGAGTGCCCAGAGCACTGGGTGGAGTCACCTGTAGGAGAAGCTGATTTTTGTGCAAGGTTTTGAATGCAGGGAGAGGGTTTGGCTGAGAAGAAGAGAAAGAATGTTTCAGGTGCGGTGGGTGTGACCTATTTGAAAGCTTGGAGGTGGAAAAGGATGAGTCATCCCTGCAAAGGTTTGCCTGTCCTCATTGGAGAGAGAAGTCCATATATCCTAACAAAGAAGCTGCCTCTCTTTTCAAAGCTTCGGTAGGCGAGAAAGCTTGGGTTGCCCCTATGACACAAGAGAGAATCAGATAATCATCTCAGGCACCAAAGGGAAGCAGCATCCAGGGACGCTGATGGTGTGAGTGGTAGATTTTCTGAGAGGGCTTTATGCCCTGAAACACTGACACAAGCTGAGACAAGCTGTGTGGACAGAGCCGCTGGAATTGCTTGTATGCCGAAGAAAGCGATACATTCTCTGAGACATCTGCTCTTTGACCTTGGGGTTCTGTGGGTGGGTTGTCTCCTGGGGACAATGCACAAGATGAGCTGGCAGCCGGCTTTACTGAGAAGCCACCATCTTTGTTTACGGCATGTGTGCCCTTCTAGAGAAAACAGTGGGAATGCACTCAGATACAAGAGTGGGGTGATTCTGTGGGGTGAGCTGGGTGCTGGGATCACCTCCCCTTACCACTCCTGACACCAAGAATCCTCCTCAAGGAGGTGGCTGTGCCTGTTCTAAAGCTGTTCTCAGACCCTCTGTCTTCCTGGATTAGCCAGCAAACCCCACCCCCCCCCACCCCCCCCACCGCTCCCAGGGACCTCTTTGGGTGGGAGGAGGGCCTGGTTGGGTAAGCCTTCAAGGACCCTGATCCCATACTGCAATTTGGGGGATGTGGAGCCTCTAGGCACCAGAAATCTAAGCACCTCCACCATGAGGGGTGGGTAAGGAGAACTGGTTGACAAAAAGGGCCAGCTCAGTCCAGGTTCGGCCCAGCCCCGCCCAGAGCCACGCCCTGTGCCCAAGATCCCAGGGAAAGAAGAGACACAATTCTTGCCTCAGTGAGTGCCCAAAGTACATGACGATGGACACTGGCACAGTCATGAGATGGAGAACTGATTACACCTTTCCGTGCCCTTATTCCAAGGAGGCAGTCAACCAGGGTCATGGGACCAGGTAGAGTTAATCAGGAAAGGCTTCTTAGAAATGAGTTCTGGAGAAGTCAGAGGACTAGATGGAGAAGTGAAAGCTTTCAGAGCTATTACTATTACTGTCATTGAGAACCCCCATGTTCTTGGTGTTGAGCCTGACTTTCCAAAGGCAGTGTGTACCAGCCAGACACCCTAGGGTCAGGAGAGGGGAGCAGCGCTCTTACGAACAGAGCTCACCTCCTTCCTGCACCTCATTGGTCATCGGGCACAATACAGAGTGTGACTTCAGGTAGGCAAGTTCTCTGGACTCCTCCTTTACCTCAGAACCTTGGCCCCCAAGTGCAGCTACCCTTCTGCTAGAGAAGCAGCACTGGCTGTTGTGATGGCAGCCTCGTTCTCACAAGGAAGCCAAGCAAAGCATCTTAAGGTGGGAGTCAAGTGATCTGACCCCCAGTTGCAGACAGATCTTAGGGGGTGCCTTCAGGAGCCACCTGGAAGGACCTGGAGACCTTGGCCCCACCAGTAGGGAGTGCTATAGCCCACACCTGCCATCACTAAAGTCACCACTAGGACACAGGGACTGGCTTTGGAGTTATAGGACATTCCAGAGGTCCTATTCACCCCTGCCTCCGTGACAGAGAACTCCCTACCTCCCACATGGAGAAGATTATGTGAGAGGGAGGCAGGCAGGTGCAGGGCATAGAGGGAAAAGATGCTTCATCTGATGACCGAGAGGGTGAGTGATGTCACTGCTGACAGATTCCCTTTTGAGAAAGAGTAGAGGCCCCATGGGAGCCTGCCCTCCACTGAGCCTCCCGGGGATGCCTCCCCTAGCAGAAGTCCTCCCTGGGGCTCCATAGAACTCTCCATCGCCACCCCAAATTTTCCATCTGACAGCAGCTGGCTGACCCACACCTGCCCTTGGATGAGAGATCCCTGCTCATGGGGCAACAGCCAAGTGAACGCTGGCCTGCCAAACCCTGGAAGGGATGATAGAAGTAGGCCGGATGGAGGAGAGTCAGACGAGACCTGCTGTCAGCTGCCCTGGGGCCTGACCATGCATGCCTAGGGTCCTGGCTGCACCCCCTTCCCTGGTGTAAGCTGCTTCTGGGCGTCTGAGCCCATGAGATTGCTTCCAGACTCCTCCTAACAAAGGCAGCCTTTCGGGGGGCAGGAGGTACAGCTTTCTGAGAAAGGGAGAGGAACAAGCTGTGTATGCTCAATAGAGGAGCTTACAGTAGGTCAGAGGCTCAGGGAGAGTCCCCGTCAGGAGTCAGGCCTGGACCTGCAGGACACCTCTGGGAGGACCTGAGGCAGGCAGCAAAGAAGGTGCTGGTGTAGCCTTTGATGTCTCCCCGTCTTCCTTACAAGCTTCTCTGAATGCCATGGGGCATGGGTTACTATAATCATACAGTCATGGAACACTGGAGCTGTATGTGGCCTTTGGGGTGTATAGAAGCCAACCCCTTCTTTTTACAGAAGAAGCTGAGGTCCAGGGAGAGCTAGTGACTTGCCCAAATGTCAGAGCCAATACCAAGGTCAACACCTGTAGGCTCCCAAGGCAAACTGTCTCTGCCACAGCCAGTAACCTTAATGGCCTATTGGTCCTCCATGATGGGGGAGTGGTAATCAGGGGCAGTGCCCCTTCTGTGTGCTATGGGGTGGTCATCTGGCTGGCTTTCGACAGAGGAGGTGGCACCACGCAGAGACGCCTGCCACATTCCAAAGCTGCCCCTCTGCTCTTCCATCTGCCCTCAGCCCAGATACTCCAGTCCCCCCACCATCCCCAAAAGATTTGGGAGTCTGAGTGGGTATGGTGGATGGGGAAGGAGCTAATCTGGTGGGAAAGATCACTGTCAAACCCTTCCCCCTAGACAAGGTTTCAGATGCTGGAGTCTGACCATCACTTCAGAGAAAAGAAGTGGCCCTCCCCCTTAGGAGGCTGTCACTGGATCCCACCTTCCTTTTTTCCCAGAGGGCTCATCATCTAATAAGAGTGTGGGGCAAGCCTTGCTCTGGATGTCCAGACCATACCGCCATGACTTTTCCCTCATGCAGGTCCCAGTGTAGGGAATGGGACAGTAATGTGAGTCAGGGTACAGACAGCAGGGCACTGTGTGTTTAGAGATAGAAGAGATTGCTTCGGGCAGGGTTGGTCAGAAGAGGCTTCCGCAAAGGGGTGAGGTCGTGAGCTTGGCCTTGAAAAATAGGTGAGATCTGAATGTTGTGACTGATAGGGGAAGGCAGACTCCGCAAGGGACACGGTATGAGCAAAGTCATGGCCATGTCACGGTCAGCCGTGTTTCAAGGACAGTGAGACAGCGAACAGACTAGCTTTTGCAGTGTTGGGACGATCCTTTGGAGGCCACTTGCCATCTGGTGAAGGGGAGAAGGGAAGGTAGCCCTACCAGCAGCCCAAAACCCAGTTCCGATTTCTGTGATTCAAAGCCATTTTGCCGCTAATAACCCTAATGACACTCTATCCTCTCGCGGAGCCTATCATTTGTGGGTCTCCAAGCACTCCGAAAACATTAATTAATCCTCACTGGGGCCTTTGAGGTTGATGGCCACCCTCCCCACTTCACCATCTGGAGCACCTAGAGGATGAAGGAAAGGATAAAAGATCACCTCGTCACTCTTGGGGACCGGGCTGACGTTTGAAACAAGAGTCCTGCCCTGAACTGGCCTCTGATCAGCCCTCACGGCTCTGTGGCCCTGACCTTGGGACTCTGGACCTGGAATGCTGAGATCCTGCCAGGCTTCCCCCAGTGGGAAGCTTATCCTTGTGGAACATGGAGTTGTGATTCCCTTGAATGGAATGGCGGTGCTCCGAGGCCCTCCAGGCCAACTCCTGACCTGTAGGTGTCAAGTCACCCCAAGCCCAGGGAGACATTTAGTCAGCCCAGGAAGGGCTCAGCTGGTTTGCAGAGCTGTCCCCGCCGCAGTCTGCCTGGGCCCTTCCTCGGCCCTGGCTGTGGAGGAGGTAGAGTGGAGAGACGGAGAAGGCAAGTAGATGATACGTTTCCTATCCTGCTCCTTCAAGAGCTCACACCTGGTCTCCTCCATGGGGTATGGTGTACCTAGATACAGAGGCGACACTGTGGGGAGGAGAGGCGAGTGAAGAGCGTGGCCATCACTGTCCTAACGCCCTGCCTTTGTCCTCAAGGTTCCATGTATGATGGCTTGGCCGACAATTACAACAACTATGGGACCACCAGCCGGAGCAGCTACTATTCCAAGTTCCAGGCGGGGAATGGCTCATGGGGTTATCCGGTAAGGAGCTGCGTCCATTCAAAAAGACCTGGGGTGTTGGGGAGTGGTTTAGGGTTTATGGCGGAGCAAACCTGCATTGGTTGCTGAGAAGAGTGATACAGGGTGGAAGGGGGCTGCTTTGGTCCATGAGGTGAGGCCAGCCAACCATGACCAGGTCCATTTGCTTGGCCATTATTTCATAGATGACTGTTAGTGCAGGCTCCTGTTTGGGCTGATTGGATATTTCCAAATGTCCCACATGAGAACATTGTAGAAAAAGCATAAAGAAAACAGCATATTTTTAAGTCCGTTTTCCAAAATGTCTGATATGATCATGGATTTGAGAGAAGTTTGAATTCTTGAGGTCCATTTGTGGATTAACTTAAATGTTGCTAGGAAACTCCTGAAGGGACCTCTCTGCTCAATATGTGCTGATGACCAAGGAGAATGCTCTAGAAGTCTCCTGGGGCTAGGAGAGCATGTCCCCTGCAGTGACTCTTGGATAAGAGGGCACATGCTGGAATGGAGCATTGCTTGAGTTTATAAGTTGGACAGGGGCACCTGGCTGGCTCAGTTGTTGGAGCATGCAACTCTTGATCTCAGGGTCATGAGTTCGAGCCCTAAGTTGGGTGTGGAGTGTCTGTAAGTTGGATACATCTGGATTCAAATCGGAGCTCTGCTACTCACTGAGCATGTGGCCCTGGGCAAGATAATTCTACCTCTGGGCCTCAGTTTCTTCACATATAAAATGGATATAACAAAGTCGTCCTCGTGAGGTTATCATCAGGATTCAATGAAATAATGTGCGTGGAAAAAAAAACTGATGATAATTAGTCTTCAGGTCAGTTTTAAAACGAACACAGGTAGAGATTATTCTAGATCCTTTAATCTTGGCCCTGTCACTGTCTTTCTTTGTGATTTCAAAGAAATCACTATGCCCATCCATCCATCACTGAACAAATATTTATTTAGCACTACCTCTGCACCAAGGTCTGTGGTAAATGCTGTGGCTCAACCATGCAAACCAGCGTTGGCGCTCTCTTCAACTCCCAAATCAGGGGTATTGGGCTAAGTGACACCCAAGTTTTCTCCCTGTTTCCAAATTCTATGACTTTCATTTATTTTTGCTAATTTTAACATTAGCCTGTATGGTTCTTGGGAATTCTTTTGTGAGGCATTATGCAGATGGGGCTAAAGACTGCCTTTCCATGGGAATCTGGGGCACTGTCTTCTTGGAGCTCCAGGTTTCAGTGCTATTTGCTTTGAGGTCACATTGCTTACAGATGTCACCCCTGAGTGTCAGGGTCCCGGGCAAGGAAGAGGGTTTACGAGTTGGGTGTTCTTTTTATTGTCAGTGTGATCCTCCCTTCCTAAGTTCTTGCTGGGGCTAATTGTGGAGTATTTGTCTTTCTTGCATGTTACAGGTTAGGGACTAAAGGGAGGCGTTAACTAGGTTTCCTGCAAATGTATTTCCCTCCCATTTTTTTCCTGAGTTTTTGATGTCAATTGATACCCTCAGAGCAACATATGGACAGTTGACTGAGCCCATAAGCCGGCAGATCAAGGCTCAGATGTGAATCAAGTGCTCTGACACCAAGAGTGATGACCAAACAGAATCTGACTTAGAGAAAACGACTTAGTAATGCAGTATAAAGGATTATATGAGACCCAGGGAAGGCAGATCACTGGAGGAGACTAGTAGTCAGAATGAATAATCATGCTGACAGGATAGATGTTACACATCGTCAGGTATATTTTGTTACACCTCAGAGCCTAGAAAGCTTAGCTTCAAGCCTGGCTTCTGCTACTCCCGCTACTCCCGTGGCTCTGTGACTTTGGATAAACCTCTTAACTTCTCTGAGTATCAGTTTTCTCATCTGTAAAGTGGGAACAAAGCTATCTGTGTGTGTACTTCACCCACAGGTTAGTGTTACAGTAACGGGGAAGTGTTATCAGATGGGCAGTGTGGGGTCATTACACATGGAAATTTGTCACCAAGAACCGCAAAGGAACTCTTTTAGAGGTGTTTCTTTAAAAAAAAAAAAAAAAAAAGAATTCTCCACACGGCCCATGTTGGGCATTTCTTCTGGCTAATCAACTCAATCTTCAGCAATCTCAGCAGCTCCTGATGCTCCCAAACCAGCCCCGCCCCTCCCCGCACCTATTTTCTGACAATCCATTAAAATTCCTTCCCTTTCCCGCACCCTAAGGCCCAACCCTTCTCGCTCCGTCTTCGCTGGCGGTACTTCAGACATGACTCATGTCAGGGCAGCTGCTGAGGCACGTCCTGTCTCCTCTCAGTTCAGGAGGGGCTATGGGAACGGCGAAGAGCTGAGCACACATGAGGATTTGGCAGAAGGAGGGGGTGAGGAAGGGAGGAAATGGAATAATTGATATTGGAGCCAGGCATATAATCAGCCAAGGACTGGGCAAAACCAAACAGGGCCAGGACTTAAGAAGGAGAGAAGGACAAAAGGTAATACAGGTCTGTGGTGGTGAGATAATCTCACCACGATTTCCTCTATTTCTTTTGGTGAAACCAATATGGTGGCAGAAAGCAGGGAGTGAGGGGAGCAGGGTGAGGTGCGGTGGGTCTGTACAAGCCTCATCAGCGGGTTTTGGCAGTTTCTGAAAGCTGCCGAAGGACTGTTCCCTGCATATACTTCACGTTCCCTCCGTCAGCCAACTCGTATTGAGCAACTCCAGGGCGGGGCAGGGAGCTGGGCGCGCTGCGGACACACAGACGAAGAGATTCATCTGCCTTCGGCCTCAGTGAACTTGCAGTCGAGTTGGGAGAAGCATGGAGGTCAAAAGACAAGTTGAATCCTGGAATATCCCGGAATATTGTGGCAGTTCTGCCATTGCTCAAAAGATCCCCAGATACCTGTTTTAGATTTTTCTAGATTTAAAAAGAAAATACAACTGTCAGTGTCCTTTTAGGAGCCATATGAGAAAACCAGTCTCGTTTCTTTCTTGTCATGCATGGCCTGGGTTTGACTGGAAACAATATTAACCACTTTGAGCACCTCACTCCTCACTCCTTATGCAGAGAGGGCTGGAGGCTGCTTTTCCACAGGAATCTGGGGGCACCGTCTTCTTGGAGTTCCAGGTTTTGTGCCATTTGCTTTGAGGCTGCGCTGCTTACCCTGAGTATCAGGGCCCCAGGCAAGGGAGAGGGTTTATGAGTCGGGTGTTCCAATTACAAATACCACATGAACTTCAGTTAACAAAGATCTGTCCCCATGAAGCATGTATTTTATTTAAATATGCAAAGGATCTGCAGCCCATTCCAAAATGAAAGTTCTAAAAATATTTAAAAAGCAGTGGTTTTACCCTCTGATTTACCTTATATTCTTTATCAGCCATAGCCTTCTTTATTTTTTATTTAAGAAAATTTATTTTAATGTTTATTTATTTTTGAGAGAGAGAGAGACAGAGACAGAGCACGAGCAGGGGAGGGGCAGAGAGAGGGAGGCACAAAATCCGAAGCAGGCCCCAGGCTCCAAGCTGTCAGCACAGAGCCCGACACGGGGCTCGAACCCACTAACAGTGAGATCATGACCTGAGCAGAAATCGGACGCTTTCACCGACTGAGCCACCCAGGCGCCCCTATATCAGCCATAGCCTTCTAATTTAAGTATATATGTAAATTATAATTTATATATAATATATAATTGTACCACTTGGAATCTAGGGTCACTGATATTGCAAATTAAGAACATTGAACAGAGGGAGTCTTATAATAAAATAGGACTTAAAACATTAAGTTAGTGAGACGCACAAAAAGCATCAAGGAAAAGAAAAGATTGATCCAAAGAAAGTCGTTGGTCCAGACAATACTCTGCTGGCCACTCCAACCTCCTCCTCCTTCAGAGACATGTACCTTCTAGAGGACAGCAGGAGCCCCAGGGTCGCAACCTCAGGGAGAAGGAGGAGCTGGGTGAGATGGGCCAAAGGATGGGGCAGTTCTTATCCTTACTGCTCAGTTTCTCAGGTAAACAGGCTCTGCTATTCTGCTCCAGTTCTCAGAACCAGACTAGTGAAATATTAGGGCCCCAATGAGGTTTACGCTTTACAACTGAGGATACCCAGGCCCGGAGAGGATATAAGACTCATCAAGGGTCACACAGCTGGTTAATGCAACAGCAGACTAGACCCCTGGCCTCCTAACTCCTAATCTAATGCCGTTTTGTTTTCATTACTCCAGACTTTGGATGGTCTTTTTATATGGGGTTTTTGTTTGGTTTCGTTTGGTTTTGCATCTCAATATTTTAACACCACGACCATGTTGTAGGGACCTGCAAGAGATCTGTGAGTTTGGATCCCTTAATTTCCTCCCTCCTCCTGTCTTCCAACCAAACCTGCTCTTTCCTTGAGGAGTCAGCCTAGCTCAAAAGAAGCAGGAGAGCGGCCATTTTTTCCCTTCCTAAACTCAAGCAGAATTCACTCAGCTGTAAGGGTTAATACGGTCAGGGCAGGGATACCAAATAAAATGCAATGAAATACAATAGTTGGGACATATTTATACTAAAAGATTATTTGTTGTTTACCTGAAATTCAGATCTTGTACTTTTATTTGCCAAATCTGGCAACCCTGGGTCAGGGTATCTTCCCACACACTCCTTGTAATAAAAACAAGCCTCCCTTAAAGGGCTCCTCTACTAGGCCAGGGCCCAAACATAATTACCTCAGGCCATAGCCGCCTCTGGTGAGAACATGGAAGCTGTTTGACTCCTGTGAGGGGTCCTCAGAATGGGTCCCTTGAATACCTTCCTCTGGGTCAGCTGAGACCAGAATGAGGAGGGGCAGAGAGCTTGAGGCACTGAAAGGCCCAGCCCTTCCATTCCCGCACTGGAAATGGGGTTTGTCCTAGATGAAGCTGAGGCAAGTGCACAATTCTGATATCCAGAGAATGTTTCTGGATTAAGACAATAATCTCCTTCTCTATCAGCTCCAACTTGAAAACGTTTTCCTGCTTATAAATCAGGAAACGCATCTTTAGCTTCAAGTGTTCTGGGAGT